TCTATATACTGTTCATTGTTAATGCCTAGTGATGTATGTAAGCATGTTAACATTATGATTGAGAATAATTGATAAAGTGAATGACAAATATTATTTCCATTGTAATTGTTCAGTTGTTAATTGTTTAAGTTAAATATGATACTCTTTATGTTGAAGCCATTGAATTTTTATCTATGCTAGTTTCCTTTATTCAATTATTTATTTATTTATTCATGTATTATGGTATGTAGGATAGAGGGTGTCACAAGCCTCACAACAATTAGGAGGAAGAAGTTAATTACATGGGAAATCAAGAAAGAGGAATTAGGTGATTATAATTAAAATACTTTTTCTATCTCTTTTGTACATGGATGGAGGAACAACACCAATTAGAACTATATCCGAAAACAAGAAGCTAGAGACTACAAGTTTAGGTTTTAGGATTTACAAAATTAAGAACTAAAGTTATAAAATTAAAAATCAAAAGATTAAAATTGGATATTAAGACTTGTTTGTTGGTTAGGATCTTATAAAATATGGTATAAGAGTAAGACATGATAACAGTAAGATATTATGAGAGTAGGATAAACTTTAATTATATCAAATATTTGGTACGAATCATGATAACAAAACAGATAACATTAGTATAATATATATTTTTTATTTAATGTAAATGAATCCGATATAACATGAATTATGCTCAAATAAAAAAATTTATTTCATTGAAATTACATATAAATTTAAAAAAAAGTTAATTAGTTTAAATTTTCAAATTGAAAATATATTTTTAACTATATTATGTAAAAAATTGTTTTATTTATATAGTTACTTAAACTTACTTTTGTTAAAATTATACAACTTTTTTTAAAATTATAATTATTGTTCAAAAAAATTTAAAATTATTTACATAATAATTTTTATTTTAATACTTTAGTAAATAAATAATATAAAAATAAAAATATTCAAAGAAAATTTATAGATTAATTTTTAATAATGTATGTGTTATATTTATTATATATATTATTTTTAATTTTTCTAAAGTTATTCTATAATATAATATATTATTATATAATATAATATATTATAATAATATAATAAAAAAATATAATATATTAGATAATGTATATAAAAAATAAGGAGAACTTATTCTATCTTACTAGTTCCTAACCCAACTCCTTCTATAGATAAAAGAACACTAAACTAATAGAAAAAGGATAAGAGATAACATTGGCATATCCTATTAGCCCAATAAACAACAAATTAAAATAGGATAGAAATTATCTTATTTTATTTTGTCATATTCGGACCACCAAAACGATTTTATAGAAGAAAAAAAAAGTATAATTTAGCAAAAATAAAAAAAAGGCATTATAGGAAAATGAGTTTGTAGATAAAAATAAAATAAAATAGAATCTCAATCACATTTAACAAGTTACAAATTTGATTATTCTTCTTTTGACATATGAATACTTAAATCATCTAGTTGAATGAACCACACAACAGGAAAGAGTAGTTTGATGTATCACTCGAGATCATTATTTAAATTGACAATAATATACATTTCATTGCGAAACTAACTTCATTATCTTTTAAGTAGAAAATAATAACAAATTGTAAAACTAATTCTACAAACTTTATGTCACTCACAAAAATTTATATGAACAATAAGATTCATGTATGCTCACATTCTTTGCTTTCCTTGTTACTTTATTAAAATATAAAGTTTCTTAACTATTAAAGTGTTTATAAGTGACTATTCACTAGTGCAAAAGATGTATTTTACATCGGTTATATTGGAATTTTTATGTCGTAAATAAGTTTGATGTTAATGCGGGAGATGTAAATTTACGTTAGATCTACCATGTCCGATGTAAAACATCCTCCCCGTCATCAGTAGTGTCTACCTCTCCCACGTCGCCGGCTGGAATCCCTAGGCCCTCTACACGCATGAAACAAACTCACGTGTCGCCCAACCGCTCTCCGTCACCATCCCCGACCTCACAAACCCCAGCATCTACCACGACGCCAAACCCTAAACAAAAAATGCTAAAGATTCATATATAGGCAATGAAAAGGAAATGAACGGAAGGCTCGTCAGAAATAGCAACTCACCTTCGCCAAAAACTCAGAAATGCCCTTCACCGGATTCTAATCGGTCAAAAAGATGGAGAATGATCCACCAATGACGAGCCGTCCTTCGCCAGAAGTCCTCGAAGCTCAAAATGCAACCAGAACTCGTTCTCACCTTCGTTGGAAATCGCCCAAACACTTTTCAATTTAACCTAGGTCGCGCGTGCGAGGAAGACGAAGGCGCCCCCAGGGATATAAAAAGGTTTTTACATCGGACTAAATAGGGGCCCGACCTAAAATTTCAAATCTACATCGACTGTGGCTTCTGTTCGATGTATATTTCAAATTTTACGTCGGAACCTATGTAGTCCGACATAAAATAGTTCGACTTATTTTCAAAATTATCACCGCGTCTTTTTTATGTCGCTTATTTGTATGTCCAACGATAAAGAGATGATGTAAAAGACTGATTTTTCACTAGTGATTGTTGGAATTCAAGTGTAAAGTGAGTCTCATATCAATTAAAGTTTGACATGTTGAAATATATAAGTAAGAAAGACCACTTACCTAATGCCTTAAAGTTTTAGATTATGTTACGGTGTTAAACTCATTTGTGTGGTATACTCATTACTCATGAATGAAATACTCCCTGATAATGATATCAGAGCAGATGATTAATTGGCAAGAGGTCCAAGATCCCTTATATTAAAAAAGAATCACCTATCTAATATTTTAAAGTTTTAGATTATGTTATGTGGTTTACTCATTACTTATGCCTAAAGTATTCCCAAGGTAAAAACTCTCCAACAACCATGGCCTCAACCAGCTAGTGTTATATATTCTTGTCTCAAACATTGCGTTTTCAGTATTTTCAAAACTAAATCTTATATCCATTCTAATTCGCAACCCTTCCCAAGAGGATGACCGAAGATTTTATGTAAAAAGGGTTAGGTAACAACTATATACAAACACTTGTTAAAAATTATACATATTTATTAATTAATTTATAGTTCATGGCATATTTATCCCACATGTGCATAGATACGTCAATTTGTAAATATGAAATATGCCAAAATTTAACAATCATATACGCAAGTACAATAGTTGATACCACCTAAGATGTCACAAAACCCTACACCCTTATGGAATTTGCTAACACATTTTTTATTACAGCAAGCATTATCGCACCCACCAACACAAAGTCCAAGATTATCAATGCACTTCCTTGTAGGTTGTATTGAATTTTGTTTACGAAGCTCACAATCATGGAAACATGAACATAACTTCAAGTCATCACAATACCCTTGTCCATTATTGTGGGCTTTACACCTAAGATCACAATGTCTCGTGAATTCACATGAACCCAAATCTTCTGAACATGTATCTCCTTCCACTCCCTTTTGTCCTATGCTCCAAAATATAAAACATACACAAAATGAAGGAAAATATTATTAGTTTCACATCATTTGTAGTTTATAACTAGAATCACAATGTTACTCAAGAGACTAACCTGTCGCCACCAGAATCAAAATGGTAATGAGAAGAGAATAGGTTGAGACATGATTCATCATGTTTAGAGAGAACTTCTATGCCTTTTTTTTTTTTCTTTTGACTTGGAGTCTCGGTGTGATTCTGATGTGATATATGTAGTAAAAATGGTTAAATTTATATATAATCAAATTTCATTGAAGTCAGTTTTATTTAATGCTTTTAATCTAAAAATACTTATATATGATAATAAATGAAAATATTATCTATTATGAATATGGTTAAGGATATTTTAAGAATGTGATATATATTTTATATAAATTTTTAAAAATTAAATATATTTGATGAACTTTCTTATTCCATGTAAAATTTATTTTGTTCGCTTATAAATTGGTCTAGAAGAAGTATGTAATAAAATTCAAACTAATTGTGTCATGGTTAGCAACATTTATCACCATTTAATATTATTTATAATTAACGTTATATCAATGAAATAAAATTGAATGCAAATTAATTGTGAGTTCAAATTTAATGCTGTTTGGGATTCCAATCCTACGCAGTTCATATTTCACCGTTTGCGGTTGCACATCTAACAATTAAATTTAATACTACATCTTTAAAATTATATTTATCATTCAAATATTTTTTTTTAAATTATTTAAATAATAGTTTTCCATTTTAATTGTTTAATTTGTCATATACTTTAAATTTAGATGTCAAAATTATTAAATTATATATAAAATAAAATGTTGAAAGAAAAGTTTATAATATATATCATATAAATTAATATATGTAGTACATTATAATATATAATGTAATATAATATTACTTACAAGTATTAATGTATATTAATATTATATAATATATATTTTTATATGTTTTATAAATTAATATCGTATATTTCCTCCATTTTTTATTTATTGTGATTTTGACATTATTTTTTTGTTATTTTTTTATTGTCATTTTTTAAAAAACAATGATTTATTAATTATTTTTTTCATTTTTATCCTTGATAATTAATGTGTGTTTACTGAACAATGTGATTATTCATTTTCTAATATACCTATTTCTTCTCCAACTACCTAAAGGGCATAACAGCCTTGATAATTAATGTGTGTTTACTGAACAATGTGTTTATTTATTTTCAATCTACCTATTTCTTCTCCAACTAATTAAAAGTATAACACGAAAATAAGTAATAAATATTTTGAAAAACTAAAATATTAATCATTTTCTTAATTTTTGTGTATAACCATAAATGTCAAACAAAAAAAACTGAAGGTAGTAGTAATATACAAAAATTATTGAATCTTATTCAAAATTAACATTAAAATTGTGTACAAGTATATATCAAATAAATTTATAATTATATATATTATATTTAGAATGAAACTTTTTGTGTATCACTTTTGTAAGATTTTTCCTCACAAAATGAACCTTTAGAACTCATGGGCACCATGATATTTTACTTGGTCATTCCATTAGGCATGATTTATTTGATAACAACAATTTATTGATTACATCCGATGCAAGTGATATACGGGAATAAACAACAAAAACACTAGTTATGGCAAAGGAATGAAGGATAATTTTAGATCACTTGAGAAGGAACTTTTTCAGCCAAAAAGCAGAAAACTTGGGGTATCTTCTCATATTGTTCTTGAAATCAACATATATGATGCCAAATCGAACTGTGTAACCAGCATCCCATTCAAAGCTGTCTGAAAATGACCATCCATTGTAGCCCTTCACATTGACACCTTCCCTGCAAAGAAAAGCATAAAACCAAAAATTACCATACCTAAATTATTCATTATCAACCAAATATTTATAACTAAATCCTACTTAAATTCTTTCTTAAAAATAAAAAAGCAAATAGATTAAATACTTTCTATTACGCTCTCATCAAGTCACAAATCATCATACATGATAAGTTTGTTAAGTTTTATAATAACTACTTCAAAAATTATATGAACCATGATTTCGGATTGATTTATTATTTAACATATTTTATACGAACTATATAAGAATTAGACTCAAGGAAGAAACCCATTTGACTTTCTCACTTGATTGCTTGAAGAAGGAATTTAAGATGGCCATCAAGGTATGTAATCCTGATACCATCCTTTCGGGCTTCATTGACTGGTGTTGAGTCATTCCCTGCTTCAGCAATACCTAAAAGAATTTAGAGCCAAAAAATATTAATTTCTGATTTAACTAATCAATTAATTGCAGTTAAGCTAGTGTTTCATAAAAATTATGCTTCACATTTCACACCACTTATTGCATCAGCTACATGATGCACTAAGAAACAAGGTTAGTAGCTTAGTACAGAACATTAGGTTAAATAAGGAATTAACTAATCGGGTTAATTACCAGAAATTTTAAGATAGGATATATCATTGTAATCTTAATGCGATTATTTACTAACCAAAACGAAATTAAATTTAACAGTATTTACCATTTTCAGTGATGTAAATTTTGGGATTCTTGTATTTATCCTTTAGGTGCATCACAATTTGATGTAGTCCCTTCGGATATATATGGAGCCAATCCAAACAAGTCTGCACAAAAATAAAATTTTGTTTCATTAGTAGTAGAAATGCATGTAGACTGCTATTGCATGGTTAATTTATTTCACCAACTGCATATTTTTTGAATTTACTTGGATCATTTATAATCACAATGAAATACCCATTAATGTAATTTTAGATAAATAATATTCACATATTAAGTTCTATTTTAAGAAATTAATCATTTGAAACCATTTTAGATAACTTTTTCCTTACATTAAATATTTTTATATTAAATTTTACTATAAATTTAGTTTTAAAATAAAAACATTGAAACATAAATTACATCACATCAAAATCATTTTTAACCAAGATTAGGAAATACAAATTGTAATTATTATATGGCATGAAGAAAATGGTACATTATCAATTAGTAATTACCAACTAAATTAAATGAAGTAGCATTGGTTTAAATAGTTTGACAGTTTTTATTATTTAATATTATATACATTGTATTTACATAATATATAATACATTGTATGAGAGAATGTATATAGGAAGAGATGAACTTACCGTATCTTGTCATTTCTTTACTCAACCCTTCCGTGATTTTGTTGACCCAACAAATATTAATAGGATATATTGGATAATTATCGTATCTTACTTATCTTATTATATACTGGCCAACCAAACGCACTTTAGTAAATATGTATAATCAATAAAAAAAAAAGTGAGATGTTAGATTAGAAATTATTAAAACCAATTAATATTTATCATTATTTTTTATAATGTTAACCATAACCTGACGTTAAATAAATTAATGACATGATACCTAATATTTAATAATATTTAAATTAAATAAAATTATACTTTTAATTCTCATTTTTATTATATATTTATCTTTTATGACCATATTTATGAAGTAAAAATGCAAAGTAAAAATGCATTTAGCATAAATAATATTAAATATTAGTTATCGTATTATGTATTTAATATTAGTTCATATATAACACTATAATTTTAATAGTCAATAAATGACATTTAACAAATGGACCGAATTGTAAAATTTATAAAATTCAAAAATAAAATTTCATGATTTAGAATGAATCCCAACTACAAAAGAAGATCAATTTCATGCATAATATGCTAACGTGATGCATCAACATACAATTTCATAAGCTTAATCAAGTTTCTCAAATTCCTAGCAATTCTTCGATAAAAATATACTAGTACATCAACATAAAGAACATAAGATGGTCAACAAGTACTTTTAAGACTTGCCATAGGTAGCAAAAGGTTAAATTGTACCAAGTAAAATATGCATTGACTAAAAGCATCAGCTCTAAGATAGAATAACCATTGATTTCAAAGAAAAGCCACCGATTGTATAGAATTGTGAGAATCCAATCACATAAAGTGTTGTTAAAACCAAAAGTTTTCAATGTATCAAGTAGTAAAAGTCAATCAACCGTGTCAAAATCTTTCTTAATATCAAACTTTATCCCCACATTACCACCAAACACCTTGTTATCCAACATATTAACAGGCTCAAGTGTAGTTGTTGATCAAACTCAAGATGAAGACATGATTTTAGTTGGTTTTAATGAATACAAATAAGCCTCTTGAAAGATAAGAATGCAACTTGTATTTTGTTTTATGTTTTAAGCCTTTTGAAAGAAAAGAGTGTAATTTATATCTTATTTTGTGTGTTTAAAGCTTTGTTGCTTATGTGTTTTGTGCTTGGTAGGTAACTTAGTCATTTTTTCTCTATTTACATGATGATTGATGATTTAGATTAGTATAATAATTGATTTGTTTAGAGAAGTGATATTAAAATTTGAGATATTAAGCTTTCACTTAAAATAATCGATTATCTTAAGTAATAATTGATTATTTGCTCTATTTTTCATAAACTTGAGAAGGAGTTGTTGTAATAATCCATTATTCAGCAAAATAATTTATTATTTCAAAAGTTGTTTATGGAATAATCGATTATTGCTCAAAATAATGGATTAAACTATTCTTAGTTGATTTCCACATTTACTAAGAACAAAATAATTGATATCCATATAAATTATGGATTGTTTTAGTTAGAAAACTTATATATATCATTTTTCACACTTAGAATAAAGAGATTCAAATCTTTGTGATATCTTTTTTCAAAAACACTCTCTAAGAAACATTTTTCTTTGCAAGAAGAAGTTCTTTAACCTTTATGGTAACCTCAAGAAAGATTTCAAAAATTGAGTTGATCATCATATTCATGGAGTGAAAGGATAAACTATTTTGGTTAATTCACCTAATCTGATATATTTTGTACATTTGGTGGATTCGTTCCTTAACTTTTGTGTTGATTGTTTTTCTTAAGTATAGATTTATTAAGAAGGAAAAATCTTGTACTGGGGTGCTACAAGTAAATGTTTATTCGGGTGTGTCGCAACCCGAAAATTTCCGATCTCACGACTAATGGTTTAGACATCCTTTTGAAAATCTCATCAATTAAGGAATGTCCGGACACCAGACTAATCCTTAATTAATGGTTTTAAAAATAGGTTCATGGAGTCGCCACCAATGTTTTACTCAAAACATTGGAAAAAGAAAAGGTTTTTAAAAAGGAATCCAATAATGACCTTGATAACCAGAATTGGATTCGGGGGTCGGTACGTGTAGGTTCGGGGGTCGGTTACGTGTAGGGAACGTATTAAACACCCCTACAACGCCCTCAATCGGTACCCTATGATGAAGTTAACATGATAAGAATTAATAAATTAAATATTAGATCCATTTATTAATAACTATTTACATGCTTAAAATATAAATTAAGCGATTAACCCTAAAATATCTACATTATGACGTTTATTATAACAAAAAAAGAGATAAAGATGAGGAATAAAAGGAAGAAAAGAAGATTGACTGAAATATCTCTTGAACAAGCTCTATTAAATCTTCAAATATGGAGAAGGTGCTTTGTGGTGACCTTTCACACTACAGTATGCCTCATAGATCTCAAGAAATACAATAAGATGGAGAGAGAAGATAGAGATGTGACACAAATCTCAAGAAATACAATAGAAAGGAGAGAGATAGAGAATTTTCGTGCTCAAAGGAATCTTATTCAAAATTTCTCTGGCCGCCCTGATAACTATGCCCGAGGCTTCTATTTATAGGAATCAGAAAGGGACCAGAACGGCTCGTTCCGGATTCGGAACGGCCCGTTCTGGGCCAGTCGTTATGTGCAAATTACACACCCTGGAACGGCCCGTTCCAGAATCAAAATTAACACAAAACTCTCCTTTCTAGAATGGCCCATTCCAAATTTGACTTGTTTGGAACGACCCGTTTTGGTATTGGAATGGCCCGTTCCGGTATTGGAATGACCCATTCCAGAAAAAGACTCCTTAGGTGTTTTGGACACGTTGGAATGGCCCGTTCTAATATTGGAACGGCCTATTCCGGGGTTCAGAATAGCTCGTTCCAATTTTGGAACAGCTTGTTCCGGGCTACTAAAACCACCTTATTTGGCCTTTAGGACTTCTGATGTCCTGTCTTGTTGTTTGCCTGCTTCGGGAGCTCCTTCCCTTCATAACGAAGGTCCATTTCCTTATTTTTGTGCCCCCGGAAGAAATTGGGTGTCTAAAGCTGCCCCTCTTTACTTGTCCTTTGGAGTAGCTATGTGTTGTTTTTCCAAAGGCAAGTAAAGACGTAGACATGTCGTCCGGGTCTCTTCCTCGTCCCTTTGGTGTTGGCGCTTCTACGTTCCTTCTCTTGGATAGGTGTATTTGCTCGTGTCCTCACCCTTTAGAACAATTAAGTGTTGGTTGCATACTCTTTTGGGTAACAAGGCTGACGAACTGTACACCTGATCTTCGATCTTCAAGTAGATGCTCCATTGTTTCTCTTGTGATAGTGCATTTTTTTATTTGTAGCTTGTTGAAGAGGGAGTATTTTCGTAGCTCAGGTTCCCTCACGGCTTTGTCGTATACCGGATTAGGAGGTGAGTACAGTTTCTCCAGATCTTTCCCTCACGGCATTGTCGTATACCAGATTGGGAGGTGAGTACAGTCTCTCCAGACCTTTCCCTCACGACTTTGTCGTATATCAAATTGGGATGTGAGTTCAGTCTCTCCAGGCCTTTCCCTCACGACTTTGTCGTATACCAGATTGGGATGTGAGTACAGTCTCTCCAGACCTTTACTTCACGGCTTTGTCGTATACCAGATTGGGATGCAAGTATAGTCTCTTTAGACCTTTCCCTCACGGCTTTGTCGTATACCAGATTGGGATGCGAGTACAGTCTCTCCAGACCTTTCCCTCACGGCTTTGTCGTATACCGGATTGGGATGTGAGTATAGTCTCTCCAGACCTTTCCCTCACGACTCTGTCGTGTACCAGATTGAGATGTGAGTACAGTCTCTCCAGACGTTTCCCTCACGACTTTGTCGTATACCGGATTGGGATGCTTTTGTCTTTTGTTCAGATGTTATCAAATGGAATTTGTGTTTCTTTTTTTGACTTTTCTTGTCGAGATGCAGAAATGTTGAATGCTTATTTATGCATGATGGTAGTTATTGCATATTTTGAATAATTCGCCTTTGATAAAGAAAGTTTTCTAAGTGTGTGAGATGCCTTTTTTAGATGCATGCGATGCATATTTTAGTTCCCCATTTTTTTAGATGGTGGCTTTTCTTTTCTCTTTCCCTCAGATGGACTGCTTTGATTGATGTACAACATTAGTCATAATGGCCGTTTGGCTTATTGAGTCATCTTGGGGCTCCTTTTTTTCTTTTTGCTTAGAAACCTTAATTTTTGCCTAGGATGTATCCTAGCGGGTATTTTTTGCTCTTCTCATTTGCCCTAATTTTTGCCTAGGACGCCCTTTACGGGTTTTCATCCCAGCGGGTCATTTTCATTTTTTGTTTCTCTTTTTTTTGTACTTGTTTAGATTTTGACAACCATAAAAAATATACGTCATTAAGATTGGACAAGATAGAAAGGAAAGAAAAAGATGATTTAGAATGAATGGTTAATGAAGGTAGGATGATTTAGACTGAATGGGTAGTGGAGGTAGGATGATTTAAAATGAATGGGTAGTTGAGGTAGCTGAGTGTTTAAGTTTTTTAAACAAACATTTCCTTGGATAATTATTATAATCATTCTCCTAATTATCTTGAACTACATATCCGAGTCTCAGGCAGAGT